TCTCTCTCTCTCTCTCTCTCTCTCTCTCTCTCTCTCTCTCTCTCTCTCTTCTCCGTAGCTTTTTATCGGCCAAATAGCGAGAACAAAGAGATACCAAGAATAAAAGACACGGAACGCGATATCTACTCGAAATCCACTTAACCTAGTCAAGCAAAGAAAATTTGTCGATTCTCTTTTTCCTTCTCCACCATTGCCTTTTATTAGCCGAGAAGAGAGCGACGGAAGGAATGCAAAATAAAAGGCGTGGAACGCGATAAACTACTCGAATCACTCAACCTATTCCCACCGAAGGAAATTTAAAGTTAGGTTAAGTTGGAAAATTTGTCGTATACAGAGAAGATTCTTTTTCTCTTCTTTCCCCTCCGTAGCGTTCTATTAGCCGAATGAGAACCGAGGAGGAAGGAAACGAGGAGAGCGCATGGTAAAAGAAAACTGTTCCAGCCAACAGGCAAAGTGTTAAGTCGGGTTAAGTTGGAAAATTTAACCGAGTCGTATCCGAGGGGAAAAATTCTCCTCCATTGGGTTTTATTGGCGTGAACGGCGTGAAAAGAAGGGCGCAAAGGAGGTGGAAGAGATAGCGGGCGATAAAGGAAACGCGAAGATAAAGAAATATATCATTTTACTCGAGACCCGTAACCGGGTGAGGCAAGGTTACCCCTTGGAATATTCTACTTAGGGAAGGCATTCGGAATCAGAAAAGAATGCTTAAAGGCGAGCTTTGTCCCGGTTTTATTCCGGCCTTACCTCGTGAATTGCGCATATTAGGTAAGTGTGGCGTTGCACAACTGCCGCTCGGTTGCGTTCCAGCTAAAACTCTCTCCGCCCCAGCCCCTATCCGTGTACGTGTTACACAGAAGAGAGGAACGTTTCTCTGGAGGGTGCCAAGGACGTCGTGGCAAGGGTTCGGGGGCTACTTCAAATTATACCGACTATTCATATTCTTGTCCGTGCGCTTGTCGCACTCTCTCTCCTCTTACGTTCTATACCCCCTTATGGAAACAATCTCTGCTTTGCTAGCCGTTTTATCGAGTTCCACGAATAACGTTTACTTTAATGCATTTTATTAGAAAATGTTTCTGTTTTTTTCTTTTTTCTTTTTTACCAT